TTTCTTACTTAGCAAGTCTCCAGTAAATAAGCATTTTTCTTTTAAGCTTATGATCCGCAGTAACTTATTTTGACCCCTGATCTGTTGAAATTAATTTGATGCATTCTGTCTGTGTACTGCCAGGTCAAGTCTAGCAACAGGCTCCAGAGTAGGACATAAAGTATGTCCATTTTGTCCTGCCTCCTCCCCTGGGACTGACCAACTTTTTTCCCCCTCAATATATGTTTTTGTTTAAATTAGAAACATGCATGCTTCACATGTCAATCCCAGCTCCCTCTCCCACCCCTCCTCCCTTGTCCCTCCACCATCCCCCCACCCCCCCACCCAATCCTCACATCATTCCCCAGGGAGGGTGAGGCCCTCCTTGGGGGGGATCTCCAGAGTCTGTCATTTCATCCAGGGCAGGACCTAGGCCCTTCCCCATGTGTCCAGGCTAAGAGAGCATCCCTCTATTTGGAATTCATACACCATGGTGAACACCAGTCTACTACCCAAGGCCCCAGTGATTTCTGTGGCCTCCTCACTGGCACTACATTCATGGAGTCTGGATCAGGGACTGGCCAATTTTTAAATACAAAGAAAAGATAAATGTTTTTTCTATATTATTAATGTCAAACTCACACGGACACAAGTGAAGCCTAACAGATTGTCTTGTGGTTTAAGGACTCTCCCACATTAAGGTGGGATTTGCCGGGAAGAATGAGTGTGGTTCAGCCTTTGGTAGGAGTGGAGACGAGCATGGGGAACTCTGTCTGTGAGGAGGAGGAGGAAGGTATATCCTGTGCAAACTGCTTCAGGAGAATCATCACAAATGCTCTCTAATCACCCCTGGTCTCACCCACCAAACCGGAAACCAGAGCAGTTTAAAGTCTGAGAGCCTCGGGTGGCAGTGGAGACCCAGAGAGAAGCCTTAACACCATAGAGCTGCAGCACACAGCGTGGGGCCACACAGACCACATAACAAAGGAAGCTGAGTTTTGAGAGGAAATCTGTGATTTTCATGGTATGCTAAAGGAGGATTTCATTCATTTATGAATGAAGGCTATGACTTCCTGACCTGTCAAATCAGGCTCTCAGGAAGGCAGGTGCTGAGACAGCATGAGGAGCTAAAGTTTATTGGGGATGTGAAATGTGGACCTGATGAGATGAAAGGGAATAAGCAGACTGGATGGAATGCTTTCTGAGAGTCGTGTCCGTGTGGAAGGAGCAGCCCCAGAACTGTCCCATCAGAGATGATGGCTGACTAGAAATGATGGTGTCGTCTTCTCCATGGTTAGTCATGGGTGGAGACTGCCCAGAATTAGTGTGGCTGGGGTTGGGTTACCTGACAAGTCCCCGTGACCCAGTTGGGACCTTTCAGCTTTCTGGACACTTTCAACTTACTGACTCCTTAGGAGCAAGAACTTTGTTTGTTTGGTGTTTTTTTTTATTATTTTGAACTTGCCCCTCAGTGACTAGCACAGTCTTCCCCTCAGTGACTGACACAATCTTCCCCTCAGTCACTAGCAGTCTTCCCCTTAGTGACTAGCATTCTTCCCCTCTGACTAGCACACCATCTTCCTCCAGTGATTAGCACAGTCTTTCCTCAGTGATTAGCGCAGTCTTCCCCTCAGTTACTAGTACAGTCTTCCCCTCAGTGACTGACACAATCTTCCCCTCAGTCACTAGCAGTCTTCCCCTTAGTGACTAGCATTCTTCCCCTCTGACTAGCACACCATCTTCCTCCAGTGATTAGCACAGTCTTTCCTCAGTGATTAGCGCAGTCTTCCCCTCAGTTACTAGTACAGTCTTTCCTCAGTGACTAGCACAGTGTTCCTCTCAGTGACTAGCACAGTCTTCCCCTCAGTTACTAGTACAATCTTTCCTCAGTGACTAGCAGTCTTCCCCTCAGTGAATAGTACAGTCATCCACTCAGTGATTTGCACACTATCTTCCCCCAGTGATTAACACATTGTCTTCTCCTCAGTAACTAGCTCAGTTTTCCCCTCATTGACTAGCACACTGTCTTCTCCCAGTGATTAGCACAGTCTTCTCCTCAGTAACTAGCAGTCTTCCCTCAGTGACTAGCATACTCTCTTCCCTCAGTGTCTTCCCCTCAGTGACTAGCATACTCTCTTCCCTCAGTGTCTTCCCCTCAGTGACTAGCATACTCTCTTCCCTCAGTGTCTTCCCCTCAGTGACTAGCATACTCTCTTCCCTCAGTGTCTTCCCCTCAGTGACTAGCACACTCTCTTCCCTCAGTGTCTTCCCCTCAGTGACTAGCATACTCTCTTCCCTCAGTGTCTTCCCCTCAGTGACTAGCACAGTCTTCTTCTCAGTGGCTAGCAAACCATCTTCCCCTCGATGGCTAGCATAGCATCTTTCCCTTAGTAGCTGTTCAGTACTCATAAAAGCTATAGAAAAATACAGGCTAAAGTAATTGGTAAACTTCCAAACAGGGATTCATTTTAAAAGGTACATGTGAAGGTAGGGTTTGTGGATAGAGACTTGCTCAGTTTGCTGAGTCTTTTATTCTTTGTTCAATGCCTTCTCATAATTTGGTTCTTTCCCATGACTCTATTAAGACTCCAGAAGCATTGCTGATGGTCGTGCTACTCAAGGCTGTGACCTTGCATGATTTAAATCTCTTAGATCTGAAATATTCATTCGCTAAAATTTGGTTAATGTGTTTCTCTACTGAACTGTTAGCACCCATCTTTATATGAAGGGTGAACCTGCACCCTTCACATTCTGAGCACACTCTTGTGACTCAGAGATTGGTGGTGGCCAAAGCAGCTACAAGAGAGTCTTTTTCACTGTTTATTGTGTACAGGAGAAAGTGAAACTCTATGTCCTTCCCTTTCCTCTTTGAGATTCAGAATTTCTCCAGTATTGCTCTCTTCTGGAGCAGTTTGGCTAGTCTTTGCTGAGGACCCAGAAATTAACCTCCTGTGAAGTTTGGAAGTCTCTGTGCAGGATAATAGTTTTTTCTGTTTTGTTTTGTTTTCGAGACAAGGGTTTCTCTGTATTGCTTTGGAGTTTGGCTTGGAACTCGCTCTGTAGACCAGGCTGGCTTCCAACTCACAGAGATCTGCCTGCCTCTGCCTCCCGAGTGCTGGGATTAAAGGCGTGCTCCACCTATGCTCGGCACAGGGTTTAAGAAGTATAAGCACTTTAGCCTATAGCCTGTACTGTGGTCTCTTTCTTCCCAGACTTCTCTTTAGACACCCTTAGATGCGTATTACAGTCATCTTGAATGAAGTGTCCCGTTATAAGCCTAACATGACTGTGAAAGTGATAACGCATCCTAGCTACGAACTGCTCTAGGATCCTGGCTCCTTTTCTATGACTCATTTGACTTCAAGATTCATATAAATAGAATGGGCATCATGACCTACCTGTGGGATTTCGTGCTGTCTTGGGTCAGTGGCATAGTGCATGGTGTCACTCCTTAAAGACTTAGCTCTTACTTGTTGAGCTAATGATGTACTTGAAAAGCTTCTCCATATTTTGCAAAAATAGCCAATGTATCTGGTGTATTAAAATAAAGCTGTTTGCTGAATCATCAGTGTTGCATCATTCAGGAATCTACATGAGGTATATTTAGTTCTTGAAACACAAAGGTAGGAGAGCACAATACATAGTGAAGGCAAGAGCTGATTGCTCTCCTCATCCGAGGCACCCAGCTACTCAGGACCTAGAGGTCAGTTACTCAGAGGTGGGAGAGAGAGAAAACGTGGAAATGCATGTTTCTGATCATTCAGCAAATTTATGTTGTCCAATAGTTAAAAAAATGTGTGTCTTATGTTTAGAAATTCCAAATACCTTCTATCTGAGACATCCTAAAATGAAACATTTAAGAAACTAATATATAAATACTAAATTTTCTTTCAATAGGTTTTAAATTTTTAAATTCTGGTTCTGATACTCTACTGTCATGAACCTACATTTTGAAACATTGCCTAAATCTCTAAATTTTAGAGAAGTATGTATAAAGCAATACATTCTTGAATTGAAACTGCTCTCGTTTGTGAGGCATGGTGGGTATGGTAAAATGTACTTGACCTGTGGAATGTTCTCCATCTCCATGTTACAGAAACATGTCTTCAATACAGTTCTCCATTTGGGGTGTACTATGCCCTTAAAACAATTTCCCCCTCCCAAGTAATCTGAGGAATGTCTGTGCATTACTCCCTGATTCTAACAGTTCCAGTTTGTGCTTGGAGAACTTGCTTAGAGTATGAGTGGCTTCCGTGAATGGTGGTGATGATGAGCTGGGTCCCTGAAAGTCCAGCAGACATCCCTTGATCCTCCATTGTTAACCACAAGCAATTGCTGTGGGGGCGGTGTGGACTTTTATTTCACTGTTTTCTGTTTGAGTTACTCCCCTTGACAGTCTGCTCACTCTTTAAACTTCCTACAGTAGAGGCGTACCATGGTCAAACGCAAAAACATTGCTGGCATCTGCTCTGCCTTCTGTACTTAACACAGTTTCAGGAAAGGGTTCTTTAAAAGGCGGAGCCTTGTAACCTGTGTACAGCAGATGAAAAAGTACATTTAGATGTCTACCTGAGGAGAAGGAAGTTGGGAATAAAGTTGAGTCTGAACTATGATGCAGCAAGGATTTAAGTCAGAAAGTTGGTTGTCCTGGTTCCTAGCACAAATTTTATTCATTATTTGGTTTAGTGGAACTTTGATCTGAGGTCTGAGGTTTCACTTAACTTTCAAGTTCCCTTTAAAATTTGTAATTCATTTGTTATTTTGTAGTGTGTGTGTGTGTGTGTGTGTGTGTGTGTGTGTGCTTGGACCACAGTGTGTGTGTGTGTAGGTCAGGAGATCAGAGGACTTGGTTTTGTCTTCACCCCCAGAGACTGATTCAGTACTTTAGGCTTGGTGACAAGTGCCTTTACCCACTGAACTGTCTCCCTGGCCTACAATTTACACGTTTCTAAAGACTTAATTGTAAAGGTCATATTTTCAGAGGACAAAGCATTACTCATTGGCCTCTCCATCTCTTCCAGGTTTACCTTGCAGACTACGGACTTTGCTACAGATACTGTCCCAATGGAAACCACAAACAGTATCAGGAAAATCCCAGGAAGGGCCATAATGGAACAATAGAATTTACAAGTTTGGATGCCCACAAAGGAGTAGGTAGGTCTCTCTTTGCAAGTTCACATTTTTATCTCAGAAGAATAATTGAGTTGAGCATGCTGAAGCTACATAAGATGACTGTTGCATGGTCAGGCTGAAGGGTAAGCACTCTGGTGAGATTTTTGTGGAAAATAGTGAATTCCTGTTAACCCAGTGAATATCTGACAGAAACCAGAAACCATGTGACTGGACAGAGACTGTGGCTCTCAAGAAAGGAGCAAAACCTGATGACCTTCATTAGGCTGACAAGTCACAGGTCTGTGTATGAGGTTCCTGGGTGGTGCTGAGGGACATCAGAATCAGTAGTCCTCATGTGCTATCCTGTTAGCACTATGTCCTTCTCAGGGTCTTGAAAGAGATCTCTCCACAGCGGCAGCATCTTCTGAACCCCCAAAGTGTTAACTTGGGAAATCTCTTTCAGTAGCCTTTCATAGATCTTACTTATTTAAACTCACTTTGATGGTATTGGAAACACATTTGCAGGTAAATTACATACATAGCCCTTTTATTGGATATTGATTGTACTGCCTTGCATTCCAAGGCAGACTTAATTCAACAATTCCCTAATTAGTTAAAGTCATAACCTATGTCTTGTATTCATTTACCATTAATTAAACCTTAGCTGTTTATTACTCTGAAGTCCAAATCCAATAGCCGACCCAGAAAGCCATGGAAAAGGAAGTAGGAGGTCAATATTGAAAATATATGGTGCTGAGTCCCACTGATGGCTGCTTCTCTCACAATCAATATGCTCAGTGCAACTGTACTTTCTTAGTTGCTCTGTCAGCAAGACAAAAAGTCAATTCTAATGTTATGCTAGTGAAAAAAATGGTGATTATTAAAAAACTTTGGCTTTCAAAATTATATTCTTTGCAAACTTTGTTTATAAAAGTGTTGTCAGACATGGTAAAGCAAACATAATTTTTAAACAGCTCTGAAAGAGATACATCTTCACTGAGCATCAGCTAAACAGACATTCTGCACTGGTAATGGCTGTTGGGCTGTTACCCTAAACTAATACTTTCTAACGAGTTTTACTTGGAGCAGACAACTGTATATTATTGCCTTTTCTATTAAAAGGACCATTGACCATGTAATGCAGAGGGTGTTGATCATTTTCCAGAGCAATTAAAACCCACAGTCTTTTAAAGGAGGCCGTCAAGAAGGTGGAGTCAGTGTGTTGACTGTGTGACACCTTCTTCCTAGGAAGATTGTTAGTGGACAGTTTTTGAAATGAAAATCACTTTTTATGCTCTGGAACACAGGAAAAGAAATCAGAACATGTCTTTGTCAAATCTGGTTTTCTTAGCAAAGTAATGATCAGTGTTGTGTAATTTTTTCATCCTTTACATTGTTAATGGCATAGTTAACACTTGAAAGGAAAATGTGACATGGCTTTGATTAATTTAGGAAATAAGGAAATAAAGTGCTGATTGATAGTGACACTTGTTAAAACAATTTATTTCGATTTATTTATTTTATGTATATGAGTGTTTGGCCTGTGTGTATCTGTATGTACCCGGTGCAGGCCAAGCCAGGTCAGAAAAGGGCATTGGATTCCCTGGAACTGGAGGTCTCAATGGCTATGAGCTATGGTGTGGATTCCCTGGAACTGGAGGTCTCAATGGCTATGAGCTATGGTGTGGATTCCCTGGAACTGGAGGTCTCAATGGCTATGAGCTATGGTGTGGATTCCCTGGAACTGGAGGTCTCAATGGCTATGAGCTATGGTGTGGTTGCAAGGAACTGAGCCTATGTCCCCTGCAAGAGCTGCTCTTAACCACTATATCATCTCCAGCCCAGACAGTGTGCACTCTGACTTTAAGTTCTCTTTCTCAAGGAACCAAAGAACATTTGTTTGCCAGACTTTGTGATATAGAACAGAATTTTCAGAGACACGAAGGTACTCCTTACCTGGTGTTGCACCTGGAAATTGACCATACAGATTCTTATGCACTGTTGCTAATGATGTTCTGGTGCTGATTTCAGTTGAAGACACTGTTTATCTGTAGGAGGAGTAAACGTAGTTATGTGTTGTTCTGACCAAAGCTCTGACAGCAGTATTTCTGCAAGTCTTATTTAGTTAATTCTGCATAGTATTGTTTTTGTGCTGTCTTCATGAGCTATTTAATCCAGTGTGTATTCAGCACTTAACTGAAACTCCTTCCATCTCCTGGTCACAGTGTGTGCTGATTAAGATACTGGGTAGATTTCCCCACTCCGCGTCTTGGGACAAAGACTGAGCTGAGGGTACTCATGGAGATAGTGCTGCTTCTGAAAAAATGCTCAGGAGAGAGATTTGCAGGGAAGTCTTGTGGTCTTGGGCTTTATTGAGTATTCATTTAATAACAGATGCCTCAGCTTTTCTACAAAACAATGGATTCCTTTCATGCATTTTGCAAATGTATGTATGCCCACATATATCTACCTGTGTATGTGAACATACATGAATATATTTGCTAAATATGTGTGTATTTGTTTTGATATGAAATGAAAGATTGGATATTCTCACTGTGTTTGAACAGTGTTTGTGTTCAGAATTTTGTTAGAAATGAACTAATCATTTAACCATATTTAGAACCCAGAAAAAAGGGCTCAGATTCTATATGTAAATGGGGAAAATCAAACTCATAAATATTTATGTTAACTATTAGTACAGTCCATGTGTGATTTAATATCAGAAAAATCTTTTCCTATTCCGGTCCGGGGGATGAAACAATGCAAAAGAAAGCAGCAAGAATGAGGAAGAGTTATCACTGTGAAACAACCTATGGTTGTCAGAGTGTTTCTTGTACAGCAAGTGTGCCTCTGTGTAGTCAGGCATGCGGCCTGTTCCCCCAGAGCAGACTGTCTGCTGACCTTGAATGTTCTCCTTATTGTTATCTCGACACTGAGAACATAGCTAAGTTTTAAAGGAATTTGTCTAAGGTGCCATGTCTTCTTATCTACATGTTTTCTAATTCATAGTCATGTACAGGGAGTAGGTGAAAAGGAAGGAAAGGAAAGACCAGTTTTTCTACTAGGTAGCTCACGAAGCCAAGAGCTGGGCAGAAAGACACTGAGATGAGATGGAAGGACAAAAGGACAAATGGAGAGACGGTGATTCCTGGAAGTGCTGTGGATGGCATGACACTTAAACATGGCAGCTGTTCTTCCAAACTCAGGACTCTGTGTAACCTGAGGGAAGTTTCTGCAGCTGACTTGATGCACCAGTATAAAACCAGAGTAAGGATGTTAGGCAGAGTTCTCCATTATTAATATTTCCTCCATAAAAACTAGCATGTACGAGCACTGACATACTTTGTTCTTGTTGCAAGATAATTAAAGAGAATTATATGTGTGTCAAATACACTGTTTTAAAATTTGTTGCATTCTTAGTAATGCCAAGAAGCAATATTTGGATCAATGAGTGATATAGATTTTTGTAGATTTTTCTACTCACTGAGGCATGCAGTCAATACCTAATTTCTCTAGAGACATACTGCATTGAACAGACACAGCTTTGTTAAACACTTCAGACCTGGGTGCTGGGTATATAATACCTGTTTTAATTTGACATCATTGATGACCATAAAATATGATATCTAAATTGCATTTTAAGTGTCTATTTGTTTATGTAATATATCCAATGTCAAAGAAAAATATATTGCATACTTTAAAATTTTTTTTGCCATGTGCTGGCACATGGGACCCAAGTCTTGTGTTGCTTCTTGCATGGTTTCATTTCCTTTCAGAACTCCAACTTACAAAATATATGTGGAGGAAACTGAGAATGTGTTTTCATGCCACTAAACTGGGGATGGCACGGGTGACACAGCTTATATTCTACAACAAAGTTGAAAGAGCAAACACCTTTTTCTATTACAGGATTAAGCAATACCATTAGATATTGAATTAAATACCATTAAGTATTTCCCAAGGAGTAAGGAAACTATAGTGTTAATCTCTTCTTGTTATGTAAAATTGAATATTGTATATAGCCTTTGGCCAACGTGTAAAGACTAGGAAAGCAATGCACCTATGTGACATATGGCCTTTTGTTTTACATTTGAGGTTTTTTTTTTTTTTGGTTTTTCGAGACAAGGTTTCTCTGTATTATTTTGGAGGCTGTCCTGTAACTTGCTTTGTAGACCAGGCTGGTCTCAAACTCACAGAGATCTGCCTGCCTCTACCTCCCAAGTGCTGGGATTAAAGGCATGAGCCACCAAAGCCTGGCTAATTTGATTTTTTTATTACATTTATTTTGGTGGATTGGGTACTGTGGTACACATGTAGAAGTCAGAGGACAGCTCATGGGATTTCATTCTTTCGTCTACCATGTAGATACCAGGGAACAAAGGTCCTCAAACTTAGCAGCAAGCACCTTTATTCACTGAATCATCTCATACCCCTTTTACATTATCAAATAAGTCATATTTCTTGACTTTTTCATTGAACTGTTTGGTTGGGAACATACAGTGCTCAGTGCCTAAAATGTAAAGTCTCTTTGCCCTAGTGAATAACTTTTCCTAATAGTGCAACATTAATAACACACACACACACACACACACACACACACACACACACACACACACAGATTGGGATGTAAAAGGTACTAAAATGAAAAAAAGCAAAACCCAGATACTAGGTTTCCCTTTATTTGAAACACGATACTTTGCATTCCACTCTCCTAATAACCCTTTGAAATTATATTAATGGGAGTATACTGGTCCGACTTTGCTTTGTGAGAAAGTAGTTAAATAATTCTGTAGAGGACAAAGTTGTGTTAGTTCACAGACTTAAATGTGCCACTCTGTGATCTTAGGCTGCATCAATGCTGGATGCATTATGAAGCCTCACATCATGGCAGTGGGGTCACGTGGTGCAGGCACTTCAGCATGGCAAGCCCTGAGCAGAAAAGAGGGAGTGAGAAAGGAGGAACATAGGCACAGCCTCTATGACCAGGCCCCCCCACCCCGGGAGGGGGAGCTGTTTCCTTCAGTTAGCCTCCCCCCCGCTTTCCCACTTCCAGTATTGCCGTTATATTATTAAGTCATCAAAGGAGTAAAGCCCTCAGGATCCACCCATTCCGCACAAACCAGAAGCCCCTCAATCTGCCACCAAGCCCACTACACAAGTCTATGGTGGACATGTCATACTCAAACTATAACAGGAGCCACCACAATATTTTCTTGCTCTTTGTACATCTGAGTTGACAAAATATTCAACAACACAGTCGGAACCTAAGAATAAAGTATACAGTTTTCCTGCCATTAGTCATAGCTCCCCTTTCAGGTGAGCCTCTTGTTCAAACATTTCTACATTCTCATCATTTCCGACCACATATAGTAATATGTTAGACATTTACATCTTGTCTCCTGGAAGCAAGTGTTTCCATGTTTGCTTTGTTTCCTACCAAATCCTGTGTCTTCTTCACCACCATAATATATAAGGAATGAAACAAATAGAAAGCATAGGTACACTGAAGATGCATATGAAGTTAAAACACTTTCCCATTCTTTGTTCTTTACCTTTGGTGAGTTGGTCCAGTTATTCACCCTGGTTTATGTTTCGAGTGCAGACTAGATCTGTAGTGTGAACTTTCTGTTGATATTATACCAGCTTAGATGGACCATTGCTACTTTATAAATATTTTTAATAGAGGCCCTCTTATCTTAATGGGGTGTGTGGACGGAGCTTTCCTGGAAGGATGGTCTGGTCACAAGGAGAATTTTGTCAATGATTCAGCAAAGATGGTAATCTGCTACTTATTTATTGCACAAGCAAGTAACTTTGTATTTTGACATTGTGTGTTGTAAGTCAAAATGCTGGCATCGTATAGCTCCCTCTATAACTAGAAGAAATGAGAAAATGTCCGTTGAATGACTTTAAATCTGATGATGGAGGCAGCCATCAGCCTGAGCACGTGCCCTCTTCATTCTCAACGATGTAGCTTCAGCGTTGCTCTGGCACTCTGTGCTCTGTGATATGAAGCAGGTTGTTTAACCTCTTAAGCCTCTGATTTGTTATGTGCCCCTATGACTAGAAATACTGATACTGCGGAATGATTAAAAAGTAATCGCAAAGCAGCACTACAGTGTGTGTACAGTAACTGCTCTCCATAAGTCACGTACGTTCTCTTATTTTAATTTTCAATTCTACTGTCAGCTATTTGTAGAATCTGTTTTCTGAACTAGAAGTTGAGTCCCCACCTGTGCCTATTTTTTATTATTGTTATGCTTGGCAATACTTTATCATTTTGAAATGTTGAACAATTGCAAACAACACATGCTCAGTGAAAAGAGTAATTTTCCTTGCTCCATGCTAGTAAGCACAATAAAATTAGGTGCTAAATAGTATTTGGAAACTAATTTAAGAAAGTTTAGAGGAAAATTCTAGGTAACAAAATTTTGAACAGAAAGTAAGTCTGGGTTGTTGTGTATCTGTATGAAGACCTATAAATAATGACACTATTAGTTGTGAAATGCAACTGAGAACCTTAGGTAGTACAGTGAATTGTGCAAACATGTTTTCAAGAGGGAACAAACCACAATATTTTGTCTCTCCAAATGAATCCAGTGTATTGAAGATGGTAGTCTATCTCCACATTGGACTGCAGAACTCAACATGGGAGAGGTGGGGCTGGAACTCACTCCTGCTTGTAGAGAGGTAGGGCTGGAACTCACCCCTGCTGTAGGGATTCCTAATCTGGAACTCTTTCCATTTCTTGCTTCAATTAAGCCTTTTCTAATGTATTTGCAAAATCAGTAATGAAACAATCAGTTTCAAGGTTAAAAATAGTTTCAGACATTTATTTACTTTTATTTTATGTAAATGAGTGGTTTACCTGCAGGCATGTATGTGCACCATGTGCTTGCCTGGTGCCTGCGGCTGCCAGAAGATCATGTTACAGATGTTTGTGAGCAGACATATACATGCTGGGAACCAAGCCTGGGTTCTCTTACCACAGTAGCAAGTGGTCTTAGCTTCTGAACTATTGTTTTTAAGTTAGCAATTATTGCATTTACTCCTCTTTGTACAGTACTCAGAAAGTGGACATGATAGTTATAGATTGAAAGAGTTTGATTTCCCTAAAACAAGTCAAGCATTTTGTCTCTCTGAGATCAATTTTCAATCAGAGAGACAAACTCAGAAACATTTTTGATGCTTTTGTCGTACTTCTTAGGCTATGAAAATATAATCGTTCTCTTTAACATTGTAAATATTTTTGTAGGATTTTGTGAGAAGTATTAAGTGTTTGCTTAACCTCACCTACTAACAGTGCATATAGTGAAAGATTAAAAATTTGATAATATATTTAATTAGGTAATAGTGAAGTGAACTCAAGTCTCAAAGGCCTATTTTACATGAAGACCAGTTTATGACATATTGGCCTCAGAAATCTAAATGACTTGTCGGTATTTGCAGCTCTCTATCAGTCCCTCAACTAGATGGTGGCTGGAGTCATGGAAAGCTTCATTTCACATTAATTCATGTTGGTTCTTGTCCCTCCTTTTGTGTATAGCTGGTATCCTCCAAACAAGTGTCAAAATATCATTTTTTGAACATTAAAGGATGTGAATTTTTTAATTGATGGTAATTGGGAATTCCTCTCATCAAGAGACTTGTGTATACATCTGTACACATGGAGCCTTCTGTTAATAATAGATTTATCACCAAGGAAAAGTATTTCAGAGCAGTGTGCTAGAGTCTGTGTTTCTATTTTAGTACCAGAGCCAAGTCCTGTATTAGGACATTGTTGAAGTTTGTGCACAAAAGAAATAGCACCCTTGGGCCTGGCCTTCTTCTGGATTGAAGGGGCTTTAATAACCCAGTACTTGAATAGCAGTTAAGATGGAATATACATAGAAGTAATTGTGCACTCTGCTTTTATAACATCTTATACATGGTGACCCAGAGTAGCTACAATGATGTGGCACCATTGTTCTCAGCAGATGGGATTCATGAATTAAAGCCCTATTTCATTCATTCAGTGACTTCTCAGAGTTTATTTAATGAAGGACAATGAGATAAGATACCTGTTTACAACAGCTTTAACACCCACATATTGTTCAGGGCATTATCTGTCCCTACACAGATGAACATTCTAGAAGTAGAATAACTATAAATACCAGCTTACTATTCTTATAATAGCTTGGAATTCTTACGATTTTATTTAATGGGTATACACTAAGTGTACTAGTTATTAGCTCAGTGACTTATTAGCAAATGTCAATTGTATTTAACAATTCTTAGGTCTTGTTGTCTTTTGATATAAGGTACTTGAGGAAAGGTGTCAATTTGAGATCAAATTAGTTCACAGCATTTTGAGTTTGATATGCATGATATTTGCCAAGGTCTGAGCATGCTCTTTCAATGTGTTTTAAGAAAAGCCATCTTACATGAAGTCTTACCTTCAGAATGTCCTTCCCACCACTCATCTGCACCCCATTTCCTCCGTGCTCACGTCAGCTGTGGTTTTTCTCTTCAAACTCAAGGCTAGTGTTTTTAAGGGGAGTTTCCTCTGTCTGGAGGTAATGTGTACCATTTGGAGCTGGGTGCCCACGGTTGCTGTACTTCCCGTTAACTGAACATTTTCATGGACCTGCTTCTAAAGACTGCACACTAGATGGCAGTTTTGTCATATTCTTCTGACTTCAAATGCGACCACTAGTGTGACAGACCAGGAAAGGCTTTCAGTGTTTAGTCTGCACTCAGAGGGTCTCGGCATGACCGAGGCAGACCCCATGGACTTCCTGGAACATGTGTTAGCAATTTAGCTGCAGACATTTCTTTCTTTGTTTTACTGCTTGGCTCTTTGAGAAAGTGTTGGTGCTGGGTTATGGGTTGTCTGGATCATGTCAGAGGCCATGGGATCAAGTTCATGTGACAGGCTAGACTAAGGAAAGATGAAGTTGGAGGAGGTGAGGAAGTTGACCCTTACTTCAGCAGCAAGTCCTGCCTGTCTGTGGACTGAGGCCAAAGGCCCAGGCGGTTAACTTCACTCCAGCTGAGTAAACACGACACTTTGCCCATTCGACTTTTTCATATTTCATCAATGGGAGCTCACTAAAAGATTTCTCTATTTCTCACGAACTTTCTCATCTTTCCCTTTCTGTAGCCCCTTCCAGAAGAAGCGACGTTGAGATCCTTGGTTATTGCATGCTGCGCTGGCTATGTGGGAAGCTGCCTTGGGACGCAAACCTGGAGGACCCCTTGGCCGTTCAGACTGCTAAGACCAAGTAGGGATTCTCAAATATTCCATCCCTTTATGCAACAGGACTGAGACACCATGGAGGGAGTGGACACACCAGACAAAATTGCCCCTTAGCCACCATGACAACACAAATATCATTAGTTTGAAAGCTATTGTTTAAAAAAAACTTGTTTAAAAAAACAAAATCAGGAATAGACATAAAATGCATTAAGATTTTAAATTATAAAGTGTAGATCATTTTATAGTGCAAATATAAAATAAAATATCTATCTGGGCATGCTATTTTCCAGCACTTAGATCCTAGGTGATGGTGTTTATAAGATGGTAGCTGGCTATGGAAATAGTCTGTATTTGTATGACTGACAGCAGCTGTGCGGAGCACCAGGGTGAGGCACCAGGAGGGCTTGCATCTCTCAGGTGATGACAACATACCCATAGTCCTGCCCCAGAAGGCACATGTTTTGCTTCTTGAGGTAGAAACAAAGAAAATATTTACCTGAGCTACTTATATGAAATATCTTGTAGCTGCATAAACTTTTTTAATATTCTATGTTCAAAGTTTTTACGTCAACTCTTAACAGCATAAGGAGGTCAGTTTTAGGAAAGTTTGCGTTTTGCAGTTCTGTCACTGGTCAGCTGGGTTCCAGCTTTTCCTCACATACTAAGTAAGATAGGCTGAGATAGTTATCCACGGAGAGACTGTTGTACCAAGGGAGTAGAGTTTTAGGAAAGCAACGAAAATGGACATAGAAGGGCAGCTGTTCAGCCATATAAATTAATCATATAAATTCAAAATTTTTTAGTCCACGGTGCTCTCAAACTCATGATCTTCCTGCCGCAGCTCCCAAGTGTTGGGATTAGAGGTGTGTATCACCACACTTGGATTCACTGTAGGATCAATGCTCAAGAGAGAAAGTTTAGACTAAAGGTTGGAAATGACAGATGTTGGCAAGCTGACGTGCAATAGTTGCACTTGGAATCTTGACTACCCTAGTCCCTGACTTATTTGTATAAGTAAGAGTTGGGACTCTAACGAGTTTTGTTCATTTCAGTCTTTGTGTGACTGACATGATTTGCACTTCTGGCCGTCAACACTCCTGTGTGTTAGCTCAGTTTGTATAATTTAAGTGGTGTATTTCAGTTAAAGGCCAGCATTTTATCTCCCACGATCTTTGGCAGGCTTTCTTTGAATAAGACTTATGAATGGCTTGTTTTAGTCTTGTATCAACATGTATACATAGATGCCTTCATTTTGATAACTAATGAGTATGTCTACATATGTATTCATGTATAATAAAAGTACTGTGTAAAATATAGGGTTTTAATAAGTTAAACATTACCTCTACTTATGTTAATACATTCATTTTTATTTGATTAACAATATAAATCCAAACACTAATGGAGCTAATATATTATATGTCAAATATAAATTTTTCAGATTTCTTATATAATAAACAGTTCTTTATTTGCCTGTGAAGGTGTAACATGAGACAGGGTGGCAGACTGGGCCACAGCACTATGTCCCTCAGTGTTTGCTGTCATGGGTCCATTGAGATCGCTGCATATACTGTACTTTCTTCTGGAGTTTCTTTGTGAACCCTTCACTCAAATCTATAATTTTAGTTGAGACTAGGGAACCAAATTTACTTAGCCAAAAATACTGGTGTTTGTTGTTTTGATTTGGTGTGTCATCATATTGATGTTTCTTGTTAACTCATTCAATCATTGGTTAGTATGAACTCTTCCCATGGAAAAACAGTTGCACACAAATAACTAAAACACATCCCTCTCCAGTGGTAAATACATGAGCAAAATATGATTTTGCCAGGGGCTCAAAGGTCTTTTTGCCCACAGATCACCAGGGAAACCAAGAATGTTGAACACACAGGGGCCTGTCCTCAATGGAGGAGTTAAAATGCCTGTTTTGTCTCCCAGAAATATGGGAATGGATATTGTTAACAGCATGGTGACCTCTGCTATTTGTGGAGTCAGACCTCACCCAAATCCCACAGAATGTTTATCCCATACTCTCCCTCCCTAGACCTCTATCTTTAGCTCCCAGTTAATAGAGCCCATCCTTAGGGGAGATGGCACGTACTTTATGGCCTCTATGCTATCTTGGTCAGAGACCATACCAAGCCTTTTAGCTATAGAACCTACCTTCAAGGTCACATGTACTTTGCAAATGAGTTTCTATATAGTCATATCCTAAGCTTTACCTGGAATTGGAATGACTGTTTCCTAGAAACCTTTTCCCCATACTCTATTGGGTTTAAATATGCTGACAATGAACCCCCTGGCGACAGACTCCCAGATGTTTTGATCAAGGTTGACAAAGTCAGTTTGAACTGAGTTTTCATTCATTCTCACCTTTTCTCGAATAGTTTTGCTGCCTGCTGTGACATCTGCAGAGACCCCCACACCTTTTAAGCGACAAATATATGAGGAAAAAATGACTTCACCATCCACAAACAATTTTATATGTATTTTTGTTGTTTCTGAAGCAACATCATAACAAGCATTTCTACCTCTGCAGTCCTGAATTGTATACAGCTTGAGTTAAATCCTCCCTGTTTCTACATTGCTTGGCCTCTAGGTAGTTAGAGCTGTAAAATTGGCCGGTTAGAACTACGGACACCCCCTTCCCTTTGCCAATCTTCCCATCCATTAGAGCTGGGTAAAAACAAGGGCACAATTGTGGTGTCTTATCAACACAAATGAGAATTGTATGTTCTAGCGGAAACAGTGAATCTGGGTTGAAGACACTTACCATTCCTTTCCCTGTTTTGTTTAGTCTGCTGGATGAGCTCCCGCAGTCGGTGCTTTCGTGGGCTTCTGGAAGTAGCTGCTGTAAGTTGAATGATGAACCCTCTGCATGTCTGTCCCCACAGGTCATCACAGCTGCCACTCTGTAGTGTAGCCTTCTCCACTCCCATGCTGGCAAAAGCTCCGGGGTCACAGATAGTTTGCTAGAGAAGATGTTTAAGTTATCTCTGACATTTGAGCCAAAGCAGTGGAGCTCTAGCTTTTTGTTTTGATCTGGAGTTTTAGGTTTACATCGGGAGAATCATCACAGGTTAGTCAATAGCAACTGGTACTTTTAGAATTAAGTGATTTTTCAATGGAGGTAAGACTATTTTTTAGTCGGTATATTTAAAAAAACTTAGACATTACATGCCTAAATGCTATTTATCCCTGTGTCGCATTATAGTGATCAGTCAGCAAAGCTTTTCAGATTAGAAAGTCAACTGATTAGGGGATGTAGAGGTGCATTTTAGAAACAGTTTTTTCCTTCACATTTGTAGGAGACTTTTCAAGGTCTATGACATTCGTATTGGTGTGAATGGTAAATGAACTTGCAGTTCTCATGTCTGTCACTTATTATGCACATGTGAGTCATTCAGTAGTGACTTCGGCATGAAGCTGGTTTGTCATGTAGAGAAGAGCCAGCTAACTCCACCATCAGACATTTCTTTTACCAGGGGAAGATTAGCAGAGTGAATCTCTTTTTAAGACAGGGTTTTTCTGTATAGCCCAGGTTGTCCTTCAAAGCTATCTCTGTAGACCATACTAGCCTCAAACTCACAGAGATCGGCCTGCCCCTGCCTCATGAGTGCTGGGATTAAAGACGTGCGTCACTGCTGTGTGGCAGCAGAGTGACTCTTGTCCTTTGTTGACTTGAGGCAGTCTGAAGGTTAGCCTTAGCATATATGTGAGTAGAGCAGTGTGTACCTACATGCACACATGCCTGTGCGAGTACTCACACACACTCACATATATATACACATACACACACAAGGATTGTCACCTGGCTTTAACAGAAAGAAAAGATGTGACTATTACTTTTGGAATTTTTTTTTTTATGTCTAAGGAGTGAAACCCAGTGCCTCTATATGTCGGTTTTCATGGAGGGAGGATGTGAGGGAAGGGAAAATGTTAGGAAGTTGTCCTCATCTTCATGAAGCCTCCCAGACCTTCCTGCCATGTATTATAAACACCAAGTGAGAAAGAATTAAGGTACCATGGGTCAGTAGTAAGTCTCCCAAGGGGAAAAGCAGATAGAAACGGTGTTTAAACAAATGGAAATATGATGATTTTAGCATGACCCTTCTCCTGAAACAAATTTACACAGCATAGACATTTTAATGCAACTCTATTGCTTTTTATTATTAATTGTGCTTATAAAAAAACCTAGTGGGTGGAAATAGCTTAGTGGCTGAGTACTTAGCACATTTGATGCCTTGGCTTGAAGACCTATCACTAAGATAAATACAAGCTGTAATGATGAGTTATTATGTGGCTCTGGTGACACACTTTGACATTAGAGAGGAAACAGATAGCTCCTCAGCCTACTGACCTAAAATCAAGAATAGCCCGGATGCACTGGGACTCTGAGCTGTGGAGGACGAGAGGGGCAATTCCTCCCTGTTAAAGCCAAGCATGACTACAACATTTCCAAATATGTTCATAAAAGGACAAAATGAAAGCTGGAGGTAAAAGTTGCAATGCCTTTTACCTTTGAACTCAGATTTATAATGAGTAGCATTTGTCTGTAAGTGATTGTTTAAATGTTAATGCAGAAGCAAAGCCTGCAGTGTGTGGCGCTCCTGTGGTTTTGAGTAGTCAGTAGCGGTGCTACGTAAACCAGGCTAGTAACTCTCATTGCACAGGCTCTTCCACCTGGCACTGAGCTCACGCTAAGCAGATCAGCAAAGAGATGTTGAAAAGACTGTCAGCTTATCCCATTTTTAGCAAAGCATGCCATTTGTTTTTAAATGTATATATTTTTTATTTTAAATGCTGCTTATCGACCTATTTTTAGTTCATTCAGTGGTATGTGTATGTGTGTGTAGAAAAATGTAACAGAAAACTTTGGGGATTGTTAGAGTTTTATTAATTCTTCTAATTATGAGTGACATATAAAACCTTTGAAACTTCACAGGTGAGCTCGCTCAGTTCTTGGTGTGTGTCCATAATTTAGCTTATGAGGAAAAGCCAGACTATCAGAAGCTCAAGAAAATTCTAAATCCCAATGGGGTACCTTTAGGACTACTGGAATTTTCCAGTAAAGCACAGAGTGTCCATGTCTGTACTCCAACCCTTCCAAAAGTAAGTATAACATGATACTTGTGCTCTTGCAATTGCTCCTGTGAAGACCTTTCAGGTCAAAATGACTTACTTGCTAATTTACTCCTATTTCTTTTAACCCAGCATTAAGAGACCTGAAAGTACCTCTCACATGTTATCCCTTACAATGGGATCTGGGCCTGCTGTGTGTTGATGAAGAAGAAGCAATCGCTGATGGCCCTGGCTTGATTCATGAGAGCCTTTCTCTGTTTCTCTAGGCTGTCTCTCACTCCCGTCCTGTGGATCCCTCGCTCCTGCCCTGTGGATCCTAACTTCTGCCCTGTGGATCCCTAACTTCTGCCCTGTGGATCCTAACTTCTGCCCTGTGGATCCTAACTTCTGCCCTGTGGATCCCTCGCTCCTGCCCTGTGGATCCTAACTTCTACCCTGTGGATCCCTAACTTCTGCCCTGTGGATCCTAACTTCTGCCCTGTGGATCCTAACTTCTGCCCTGTGGATCCCTCGCTCCTGCCCTGTGGATCCTAACTTCTGCCCTGTGGATCCCTAACTTCTGCCCTGTGGATCCTAACTTCTGCCCTGTGGATCCCTAACTTCTGCCCTGTGGTTCTCTCACTACAGTTTTATGGATCTCACTCCTGCTCTGTGTCTTTGCATCCCAGTTTCATCATGATACAGAGCTAGATAATATTCTTAGACATTATTACTATATATCTGTTGATATTTCGGCTTATAGAAGGAATTATTTTCTTAATGAAGTTGTTATTGTATTTGTTATCTCATTTATTGTTTTTCTTTGAATGGATGCCCTCACATCAACTTTAAAAAATTAACTTAAAGGAGTATAAAGTCAAAGGATTTTGAGGAGAGAATGGTAGAAACTGAGTCTGTGATGAGCTACACTGTTACTCAGACAAGGAAACGACCCTTTCTCACTTGAGGCTATCCACATTAAACAAGTAAATAATAAATGTGTGTGTGTGTGTATGTGGAGGGCATTCTGGTGGAGGTACAAGTTAAGGTTAGAATGCCATTTATATTAGTATTTCTTCTGAACTTTGGAACATCACAAGTGCTTGTGAGCCAAGAATGCAGGATGCAGCTAATGTGGCTGATGGGCTGCTAGATGAATGGTGAGTCAAGTCTCAGTGCACAGATGGTTCTGATTTGCTGAATTTTGTAGCTGCTGCAACCGAAGACATAAAATATCCTTCTACTCATAAATTAGCTCTTTGGAAGCAAAACCTTGGCACCAGAGCTTTACAACCTTCAATTAGTAGGAAAAGAAGTATCTGAGTGACTGTGGTATTGACATCTGTAGGCCTGCATAGTAATCATTCCTAATAGAAGAGAATATCTGTTTGAGGAGGGTTTGCATGGCTAATTAACTACCAGTGAGAATCTGTAATTTTTTCATGATCCCCTGATTGTCACCTTTCTCTCGTGGTACAATTACATTTTATTGTAGCAAGTGCCTCACAAACCAATTGTCAGCACTGTTTACATATTGCAGAAGGCAGAACGAAAGTTCATGTTTAATGAAAAGCCACTGGATTTTGACCTTGGTAATTATGGAGACTTCTTTTAACAGTTTTATTGACTTTTGTATTTTTATCACTTTTCCAACAAAACAAAGAACCATTTCCTTGACAGTGTCCCCTTACAGTGATGGTCAGCACTTACTCTGTACCAGTTTAAGAAGATTTTCATCCTTTTTTGTAGTTTTCACTTTCATAAGCTTCACTGAAATATAAGTCATTTTAAAACAATACCATATCCTTTGCCATAGTATTCTAATCGTTATACTCCACAATATACAGTAAAGTCAAAGAGTATTTGTTGTTGAACCAATTTTTAAGCAGAGAATAAGAATAATACATTATAGAACATTTTCCAATGAGCTTTCATGAAAAATATTTTATTCCGTTTTTATTAGAGCGCTTTAGTTATAAGTAACACTATTTAAAAATAACATATAATTTTAATACCTTAATTTCTGTTAACAGTGTGATCAGCCTGAATATGCAGCTAGTAAGACATATTTCATAGCATATCAGCATTTAATTAACGACTTAATTTTTTCTACTATTTTATGTGCACATATGTATTTAAATATGTCAAAAATATAGTTTCACTATCTGTGGGTAAATTGCATGTTGATTTTAATTTCTACAGTTTACAGGTCTTTATTAATGCTGTAAGAGTCAAACCTGAAAATGTTGAACTATATGGACATTACCATCCTGTCCTCAGTTGGGCTGAGTGATGCACAGGAAGGTGTCTTCAGCTGATGGCTCCCTAACAGAATTATTTGAATCAAAGACTGTGGACCGGGGGTGGGGAAAAAAAAGACTGTGGACCTGGGGGGCTACAAATTTTCTCTTTCAAGTCGAAGCATCTTTTCACTCACTCAGAGTACACCTTGTCACTGTGCATGTGCTCTACTGTAGCTACTGGTAGATTAGTAAAAGAATTACTATTTCTTCAACTTTTTTGGACAGGTATTTAAAAATAAGTCATTGTGACTGAAAAGAAAGCATGCATATACAAATAAACTTTTTTTTTACCATTCATTAGTCAAAAGGAAGGAATTTATGTATGTTAAATTTTTCAGTGTATTATTTCTTTGTAAGATGAAATTTTTAGATTTTAGGATTCTTAACAAAATGCTTTTGAATTAGAAACAAGCACACTTCTGAATGAACTTACAGCATGCTCTTGCAAAGTGAAGAGATATTTTACTTACAGATGTTTGGATGTGGTGGACCATTTACAGTAAACTCTGGGTTTCCTCCAGAGCAAAACTGGAAATGAATTTTAGCCAGTATAGCAAAGATGCTGTTGTTCTGGGTCTTTTATTTTTTTTGCTTTTGTCTGCAAAAGCAAACCTTTATTTGAAAGGCCATCCAGCAGTCCTGGAGGTGACTGCCTTCACCAGGAGGGTCCCAAGGTTCGTCATCCTGGCCTCACAGCTGCTTATGCTACCCACTGAAGCATTTGGATTTGCTCGTTTGTTTTGTTTCATATTGTTTTGTGTTATGTTTGGATGAAAGTCTGCTTAGCAGGCATGCCATCATTCAGCCACATCACCAGTCACCCTCTGCCACTTACTCTTTCAAACCCAGTGAATCTCACCAGTGCCGGCTGATGTCAGCTGCAGTGAATGAAAGGGCATCTCACCAGTGCCGGCTGAGGTCAGCTGCAGCTCCTGGGTTCCCAGAGGATAAAGTCAGTGGGAGAAATGTACCGTTCGGCCCCTTCTCTTCTCCAGCTGTGGCCCTGTTTGAGGAGCAGGAATTCAGAGGAGCTGCCCATTTCAAGGCAGCAGAAAAGCCATGAGTCAGGACAGAAGTCTGAGTTTCCTTCACTACACACAGTAAAATGTGGTTCCTTTCTCAGTCTCAATCCAAAGTCCGGCAAGTCAAAGGGCAATGTGTGTTGCGGGGGTACAAATTTTCAAGGAGAAGCTTTAATTCTTAAAATAATTCTATGAGCTTGTCTTCCTGTGTGTTTTCTATATGAGAGGAATGGAACACAAATCCCTGGTAGAAGACTTTTTCCTTTTCAATGTTCAGGAGTATAAAGTGTTCTGGTTTCATACTATAGTGTGAGGTTACATTGGAAAATTAAGTCAAATATTATCTTGTTTAAGTAGTGAGTTTTCTTGAAAATGATACATATTTTGGTAGTGTCCCTTTTGATACACAGAGATGCCAGGAGTGTTTTCTGTATTTATTTTCTTATCTTTTTTAAATATGAATGTTTCACTCTGTTAAAAAATTAAGAATTTCTTTATCCCATTTTCCTCAGCATTGTAAGTTTGTGTGGGAACTTTACTTATCAGATAGAAGCATTCATGGCCTTGCAGCATAAGCCTCAGGCCACCATGTCTTCCAGGGAACCTCAGACAGAATATACTATGCCCAAACCTGTTCAGTATGTCAGAGGCTCCCAGGGGAAATTGGTACCTTAAATGCTTACTACATAGGAGAGACTAAAAGTCCTTAATTATTGCAATAAGAACAGTCTACATAACCCCATACCCCCAGTTCTGAATGAATAGTCATGTCACAGACACCCAAGCATCTCTGTTTTAGAGTTACTTGTAGTAGGGAAACAAGTATCCACCGGTGAATGGAGGAAAATAATGGAATGAGTAAGAAAAGTATCCAGCTTTAAAAAAGAAACCCCTCTTGTCTTTATGACCAAGTGAAGTATGTCTAATAGGTCAGGACAGACACTGCCTAGTTGTAACTCTTGTGTGGAATCTAATCCAATAGGACATTGGAGAGTAGAATGGTGAACATCAAAAGTTTGGAGTTGGGGAAAACAGGGGTATGTTGGTTAAAGACTCAAACATTTCAGTTATAAGATGAATGAGTTATAGGAATCTATTATACAGCATGACAAAATGGATGTCATATTCTCACTACATACAGATGTGATAAATGCATGGACTTGAATGTGGTATTTCACAATGTGAGATGTCAAAACCTCACAGCAGACAACTTAAATATTCATTTGTTGATTGTATCTCAATAAAGATGGAAGAAAAAAACCTTTAGCTAATCCAGAACATGTTTCACATTGACTACTATATCGCTGTTCCTGGGGTGAAACAAGTGTGGGAACCCTAATTTCACATTAGTGAAGTAAATAACAAGTATGAATTTTTTACCAAGGTGATATCAGGGATGGTGGCTTCTAGGTCCCATCAGCTTTCCCAGCGGACTTAGAGGGAGGTTGAAAAAAATGTTAAACTACAAGTGATTGGGAAACATTTCCAATTTGCAGGTTAGTGAAAGGCAGTGGTTTTGCTATTCATTAAAATGCTGAGATCCGGGAGGAGGTGGGAATAAAGGAGGGTGTTGTGACAACTTAGCCCCACCTTCCGAGCACCAGCCTATTTCAAAGAGAAGGAATGAACACACTTGGCAACAGAAACTGGAAACTGAGAGGCTACAAATTAAGGCTCTATTTGCCCAGCCAGCATAATTTATTCTCTATTTTGGCACTGGCTACTCCATTATTTCCCCTTGTGCTGCTCCTGTCTCCTGCTCTCCATTTAACTGAGGGGGAAGGCGATGGCACTTGGAGTGGCTGGAAACGGGAAGCTGCTGAACAAACACTTCACTCAAGGGCCTTGCTTGGCTTTCAGTCTTCCCCTGTGCTGTAGGACCTGCCCTCTATTCCTGTGTCTACTTCAAGGTTATTGAGAGTCAGTCATTCCCCAGATGTCACCACAGTGTGAAAAAGAAGAGAGAAAGCTTGTCATGAAGTTAACCTCTGGTCTTAGTACACAGTGCCAGGTGACATGAACTCATCTCGCACTGAGGTTAAACTACCTGCACTCCATGTAAGCAACACCATAGGCTCCTTGTATACTTTCACATTAATTAGCCTCTCTTCAACAATAGGAAAATAAGATCTTAATTAATAGGAATTTAAGCTACAAAGATTCACTGGTTCCACTCGCAGCAAAGGTTAATAATGAATTCACATACAGTTTGAAAATGTGACAATGTTCCATAAAAATACCATTTTCATTGTAAGCAAGTTTTCTGTAGAGATAATTTTTTAAAGCATGCGTAGCAGTGACACTAATTTTAATTGCTCTTGTCCCACTGATGAGGAAGGGTCTGGATCTCAATAGATATTGCATTTTCCCCATAATAGCCATCCTTGCTTCTTGTTTGTGTCTTTGTCAAGTCCAGTGTTACCCGCCTTAGGTTTGTAAATAATCTGGATGTGAGGTTTTTTGTTTTTGTTTTTTAAAGAAATACCGGTTTTCATTTCATTACATATTCTTATTCCATACCAACAGGTGGATTCACCACAGGTTACAATGAAAGCAGCCATTGAGTTGCCAGATAAGTTCCCAAAGAAAACCTGCAGAGGGACAAGTGCATCTAGGAGAAAGGAGCATGAGGATAGCCAGCCCCGAACTCTGCTGGGCAGAGCAGCAGCACAGGTGAGAGCTGGGTGTGCTGTCTCACTGATGTGCCATTAGAATAAATACTTTGTGTGAATACAGACTCCCGCCCCCAAGGTCAATATTGTATGATTTTGTTAAATGTGGACAGAAGATGTCTTGTCTACCTGCTAAAAATCAAAGCAGCCTACAGCATTTGGTATAGGAACAGAGACAAACACACATGTGAATAGATCCAATCCCTTCTTTTCCCCTGAGAATGTAACAAAGCACACTTGATTTTTTCACTGTCTACATTCCATTAGTAACCCTTCCCCTGCATATTCTGCACTTTGCATGATTCCTGTACTCCAACCCTTACCGTCAAACGTAACGGTAGTATCTGCCTGTCAGTAGACTGTTTTTGGAATCGTTTGCCTTTGCAGATGACTCATGAAGACAACAGCAAAGTCCTCCCTAAGCTGACATCTTATGATGGAAAAGCAAAGCATACAGAATTTACCTGGAGAGAAAAGTAAAGTTTAATTATGTCAGAATAGCCAGCATTTCATTTGATTTGTGCACCATCATTCGCAAGCGGTTTGAAGCAGTTCACAGTGTGAAACAGGATAATTTAATACCCCCACCTTTCTCACCCTCCACCCAAGAAAAATTGATATATGGGGCAGCTGGGATGTTAATCACTAAACTGAGCACTGAATTTGGCTCTGAACTTCTTGGCAGCTGAGGCAAAAATTAGAAGTAGAGTTATGCATTTCTCATCCAACCACCAAACAAGTTTATCCAGAGAGAAATGTCGCTGTTCGTGCTCAAAGGCCCCTATTACATTTATTCAGTATGAAATGGCATTATTTGTGGTTTTCTTTTAAACTAACATACAGAAATCTACTTCAGATGGGCATATTTTATAGTCCCACTTGTAAAGTTAAACACAAATACTGCTTGGTGACAAAATCAGAAATTCTAAGTCTTTAGTGTGTACTGGACTCTTCTGTCCTGCGAGGCAGGGAGGGCCTGTGAAAGTACACGCCCAGGTTTCAAGTGAAAACACACATTTTCCTTGGCTGGTTTGGCAGTGGGAGGATGTGTGGTGCAGTGGGATGTGTGGTGCAGTGAGACAGTGTGTGGAGCAGTGAGACAGTGTGTGGAGCAGTGAGACAGTGTGTGGAGCAGTGAGACAGTGTGTGGTGCAGTGAGACAGTGTGTGGAGCAGTGAGACAGTGTGGAGCAGTGAGACAGTGTGTGGAGCAGTGAGACAGTGTGTGGTGCAGTGAGACAGTGTGTGGTGCAGTGAGACTGTGTGGTGCAGTGGGATGTGTGACGCAGTGAGACAGTGTGTGGAGCAGTGAGACAGTGTGTGGAGCAGTGAGACAGTGTGTGGAGCAGTGAGACAGTGTGTGGAGCAGTGAGACCGTGTGTGGTGCAGTGAGACCGTGTGTGGTGCAGTGAGACAGTGTGTGGAGCAGTGAGACAGTGTGTGGAGCAGTGAGACAGTGTGTGGAGCAGTGAGACAGTGTGTGGAGCAGTGAGACAGTGTGTGGAGCAGTGAGACAGTGTGTGGAGCAGTGAGACAGTGTGTGGAACAGTGAGACAGTGTGTGGAACAGTGAGACAGTGTGTGGAGCAGCGAGACAGTGTGTGGAGCAGTGAGACAGTGTGTGGAGCAGTGAGACAGTGTGTGGAGCAGTGGGTGTGTGGTATGTTGCCCTCACTCACTCCAGTTGCCCTTACTCCTTTTTCTCAGTCTTCTAACTCCAGAATCAGTTCTGATTCTCATCTCTAGGTTAGGTTTTCTTCTTAAATTCCAGTAATAGCATATGTTTTATGTCCACCCCTTTCATTTATTACCTTTTGAGATTTCTTTGCATTCATGAATATACCAATTATTCCTTGTCAGTGTGCACCTCATGTCCACTTTCCTTTCTTCTGAGACATGGAATTACTAAATCATTGGGCAAATAAATATATGTTCAATTATAAAATGTTTGAACATAGGCAGTCCAGATGGTTGAGCAAGCAAAGAACTTTGCCATGGGCCCCGGGGATCTAAATGGTGAAACGAAAGACTGACTCCCACAATCGTCCATTTGAACCTCAACACATGTGCCATGATATGAACATAGCCCCAAACCCAACAAATAAACAAGTTTAAAATGTTGGTGAATCTAAGAGACCATGGATGCCAGCCCAGACTACTATACCTGGCAAAGCTCTCAATCACTATAGATGGAGAAAACAAGATATTCCATGACAAAACTAGATTCAAGCAATACATATCCACTAACCCAAACCTTCAGAAAGTTATGGAACAAAAACTCCAACCCAAGGAAGTTAACTACAACCAGAAAAACATAGGCATTAGATAATCCCACTTTACCAACAAAAGAAAAAAGGGGTGGAATTCCACACATAATTCCAACAACAACAACCATTGCAAATCAAAGAAGAATGAGCAATCAATGGTCATTAATATCCCTCGATATTAATGGCCTTAACTCACCCATAAAAAGACACAGGCTAACAGAATTGATTCGAAGACAGAACCCATCCTTCTGCTGCATACAAGAAACACACCTCACCCTCAAAGACAGACATAACCTGAGAATTAAAGGTCGGGAAAAGATTTTCCAATCAAATGGACCCAAAAACAAGCAGGGGTAGCAATCCTAATGTCTAAAAAATTATACTTAAAATAAAATCAATCAAAAGAGAAGAAGGAGGTCATTACATACTCATCACAGGTGAAATCCACCAAGATGAAGTTTCAATTCTGAACATCTATGCCACAAATACAAAGGCATCCACATTCATAAAAGAAACATTACTAAAACTTAAATCACATATAAAGCCCCACACACTTATAGTGGGAGACTTCAACACCTCACTCTCACCACTAGACAGGAATACCAGACAGAAACTCAACAAAGAAGCAAAGGGTCAATAGAAGTAATGACCCAATTTAAATAGACCTATGGGTCTATGGCAATAGAAGCAGTCATCAAAAGTCTCCCAACCAAAAAAAGCCCAGGTCCAGATGGCCTCAGTGCAGAATTCTATCAGAAATTGAAAGAACAGCGTATACCAACTCTTCTCAAAATATTCCATGCAATAGAAGCAGAAGGGTCTTTGCTAGACTCTTTCTACGAGGCTTCAATAACCTTGATCCCCAAGCCACACAAGGACACAACTAACAAAGAGAACTTCAAACCAATATCTCTCATGAACATTGATGCAAAAATACTCAATAAAATACTGGCAAATCGGATCCAAGAACACATCAAAACAATCATTCACCACGATCAAGTAGGCTTCATCCCAGGGATGCAGGGATGGTTCAACATACGAAAATCCATCAATGTAATTCACCATATAAACAAGCTGAAAAACAAAAATCACATGATCATCTAACTAGATGCAGAAAAGGCCTTTGACAAAATCCAACACCCCTTCATGATAAAGGTTTTGGAGAGATCTGGGATAACAGGGACATACCTAAACATAATAAAAGCTATATACAGCAAACCAACAGCCAACATCAAACTAAGTGGACAGAAACTCAACGCAATTCCACTAAAATCAGGAACAAGATAAGGCTGTCCACTCTCTCCACACATTTTCAACATTGTACTTGAAGTTCTAGCC